TTCTTCCGACTGTGATGAGAAAAAGCGTCTGTTTCTTGCCACGAAGAACAATCAAGTGTTAAGGGGTTAATCGCGTTCACTCGAAGAAAGCGATGACGCGCGTCACAAGGTAAAGAAACAAAATAATATTCTTGGCAAAGAAATCGCTTTCTTTCCTCGTGTGCACCGGACCAAGAAAAATGGAGTTACTGAATTTTAAGTCTCCGTCCAGGCGCCATCGATTGTTCGCAGACTATTCTCCCGAATGAATAAATAAACGAGATAGATTTTCAATCGAAATTTATCGATTGAAATATAAAATAATATTCTCAGAGAAGTGAACGAAATTTTCCATGGATGATCTAAAAAGTGATTTCAAAATTCTATTAGAAATAAATTGATTCCAAAAATAATACTAACATTGAAATATCTACAAAAGATTCATTTACCAGTTATTAAATGTATACTTTGTTTTACTACGTTTCTTCAATTATGAGGATTGTGTCTGAGACAATTATCTTCCAATTTTCTGGACGAAGAGGTTACGAGGGAAAGAATCGAGGAAGGGAAGGATTCCGCGATGCGGTTCGTGTTGTTGGTTACGCGTTCCCCAGAGACACGAGCCAAGAATTGTCGACGAAAGGAAGCTTTGACTTAATCAAAAAAGTTTCACCTGCCGAAAGAACGGAGGAGATTAAACGGTATCCCCGTGAGACAGGTCGAAACTGCACATGAGAAATCGCGTTATCTTCACACCTCGAACACACCTTGACACGAATAAATCCGTTAAATCATGGTGTTAAGTAATATGTTAATAAAAGATGAAATATTCTACCTTTGATCTTTACACGTATTCTGTAAGCGTGATTACGATCAAGATTAAATCGTTGATACTTCTCTGGGTGTTTTAACCTTTCCATTCGGAATACTGATAAGCGTAATAACTTGTGTTATAAGAATATTAAATATGGATAGAATCTTTGCTTATTTTTCGGGTAAATAAAATATTTCTTTATTATTTATATAATATATAATATAATAATTTATATAATTTCTATGATAACAACAGTGATTAAATCGTATTTATTTCTCAATTGCCTGGAGCAAGTATTAAACGTATATACATATGCTTCAGACGTAATGAACATAGAAAGAAAAGAAAAATAAGCTGAAAATTATTTTTGCGGAAAGAATTATTCTTACAATTGGAATCATACGTATGAGAATTCAACAAATAAAAATAATTAACGAAAGAATAAAATTGATCTCTAAATCTTAGAAAAGAATCCATAAGATAGTGCAGGGCAATTTTCATCTGGGATAGGAGGAAATCGGATGGAACCTTCTTGCCTCGACGAATTATATCGTACTGGATCGTAGCGGCACACAATGGTCTCGTTTTGCGCCTGCACAGTTGAGCAATTCCCAACGTGAGGATCGTAGCGTGAATTTCGAGTCGTGGCGATCAGGGAGCCGAGAAATTCGGGCATATTTTACGAAACTGTTATAAAGGATAACTGCTTTCCTGTCTACGTGAAGGTACTTCGAAAGTGGATTCACTTGGAAACTCACTTGAAAGAATATTTCCCGTTTCTTAGATGAACACCGATATCTTGCCAACCTGAAAGTTTCTGGAGCTTGACAATCCGAGTAAATTACTTATTCCGGTTTCCATTTTAATAATGCAAATGCGAAGGAAGCCACACATTAATTAAGCCCCTCTATACGTATATATGTAAATAAAGATAGACATTTTGTAAATTGAATCGGAGATATAGGTAATTTTTAAGATTTTTATTTTACAAGTAGGGGTAATTTAATTAAATTATACTTCTATAACACGTATAAATATTTTACAATAATAAAATATTTTAAAATTTCATTGGATGTCTGAAATTTAAGAGTTGATCTTTTAAATCAAATATAGTATTTAAAAATTACTTCTGAATACTTCTGAATACTTCTTACTTACTAATGAAATTTCATTCCTCAAATAATATCTATAAATTGATTTTTAATTTATTTTATATATCTAATTATTTTTAATCTATTTATTTTATTAATAAATTCATTTTTAATTAAATTAAAAATAAAAAAAAATCTACTAAATATACACTAAAATATACACTAAAATATTTTATGAATCGATATGTAATTTATATTTTATTAAATTTTTCCAAATAGCCAATTTAATGCAATTCTGCAATTCTTTCAATCAAATTGTTAAAAATTGGAAAAGAGAACGAATAATCTATAATAACTTTACGTTTGGATTTATTATTATTACTTTTGAGATGTTCGTTTAAAAATATTGTTATTGTGTATGGTAAATAAAAATCTTTACAAATTAAAGATTATCCTAACTGTGAAATTACTGTGATACAAAATTTATTTCTACTTGTCCTATTAATTCGAAACATGAAAGTTGCGACCATTTTAATGGAAGATATTTTTTATTTTTCGAGCGCAACGGTGAAACGGTTTTCCAGTTACGAATTGGATGTCGTTAGCAAAAAGTCACGCCTCGAGAGCACAAGTGCCATTACGGTCGATACACGGTGGGATTATTCGTGACGTTTCGGGGAGAAGAACGCTTTCAATCGGGGCTCCAAGTGAAAAATGTCCTGTCAGGTGCAGCGAGCCGGTCCCTACCGAGGGTCCTTTAGTAACAGTCCGCGTTATGGAGGAGAACATGACAGAAGAAAAAAGAAAAAAAAAGAAAAAAACGCGAGGGTAAAACGTTTTGACTGTATTCCGTACTAAAGTGAGATCGATGGATATTGTTAAAAAGTGCCAATTAAAAATAGACGATTTTATAGAACGAGAGAACAAAAGCTAAGCTTTAAATGCCACGATAAATGATCGATATCATATACAATCTATCGCAAAAACATTTTATGCAAATTCAAGTCAACGAGTTGGGTTATATGAAAAAGATAATTTTATTTTATACTTGAAACTTTAGACGAAACCAATCCTTAAATAATTTCACGTGACTATTGTTTTCGTTTATCCAATATAAGTAAAAAAACTTATAACTTAGAAAACGTTCAAGTTTTAATTTATTACATTGTAAAAAATATTTTCAAGAGAAATTGTAGCAAAACTTTTGATCTTGTATTTTTATAAATCTACTTTATGTAAGAAAAAAAAAAGAAAAAAATATATAAAAGTATATAAAATAGATACAGGTTATAATATTTTAAGAATGAAACTTAAGATTTTTATGGTATGCACGAATGATTTATTAAAATCATCTTTACAAGATGATTTTTACGATTGTCCAATTTATGATAAATTATAATTTATCAATTACGACGAAACTATATAGATTTATATCTTGATCGTGACAGAATTATACGTCAATCCTGTCATTAAACGAGATCGCAAATAAAATTTAAACAAGGTTGCAACTCGTGAAAGTGCATTAAAATCAAAAAGTATATTTGATTAATGTTTATGAAAGTGCAAAGGAAATAGATAAGCGACGACAAACATGTTTCAATTTGCTGATAAACTGGAAGAAATGTATTCTTGAGTTAGGATCAATGGAAAGGGCAATAACCGTGTTCACGATGGAAAAACAAACATCATTTTCTTATCCTAATCGTTCTTCCCGAGAAAAAAAAAAGGAATCTTTCAGCAATTCTCGAACGTATCACATATAATACATTGCATAAGGAAATATCAACTTTCTATGATTATGTAAACAAAAAATCCGTGCAACATTGATTTCGATACGATTAATTTACGATTGTAGAATCTTCCACTTAAAAAGTAAAACTCTATTTACATAAACGTGTTGTCGAGAACATGGCAAGTTTAAGATATAATCGGTTTATGCATGTAACGGAACTCGATACGATTATTTTTCATACCAAACATTTTCGAATAATTTCTTTATTCGTTCTCAGACTGTTTTATTCTAAATTCTAAATTTTCTAAATTCTAAATTTCCTTAACAAAACTACACTTGCTTTCATTCTTGTTACGTACGATCTTCAAATTTTTCACAAACATAAACACAAGCATAAACATATGATTCCACTTATTACGTGGATCCAATTATTTATTCGCAAGATTTCGTTCGCATAAATGGTACGCACGAATGATTTATTAAAATCATCGATTTCCTATAATAAATAAACTCGAATAACAATACAGAATACTGGATGATTTACGTGACTCCTCTCATCTAGAATCGAGATGGACATCATAAGAGGGAGGAGAGAATGCAGCTGCATTGAAAGACCGCAATGAATCATAGAGAATCGACCAATCGATTCGCACACTTCTGTCTAATTTCATGGTTTGTCGTGAGGGAGAGGAAAAATTCGGGGACGAGCAGACGGAAGGAAAAGGGCAACAGACGATGAAAATCCTGCGGGGCCATTCGTCTATGGGCATTGTCTGCTCTATTCGACCCCATCATTGCTTGTATATATATATATATATACGGGCTGTAACTACCGAGAAGGGAAACTGCGAGGGTGGCACAGTTTCGCCCTCAAAGAAGGGTGAACCCTCCCTTTCCCCCTGTGGCAATAAACACTTAACCGCACGATCGTATTTTAGAGAACGAATCCTAAGATTCTATCTTTCGTGAGATCGTCATTTTGATAATGGAGGATGTATTCTCAAATTAATGTTAACGACAATTTGTGAAACTCGCGTTTTGGGTGGTCCGTATGTTACGGGTGGGGAAGAAATATGATGAAAGGGGATGAATGGAAGTACATTCAAGAATAAAATTAAAGAGAAATCTCAGCGCAGATGGTCTAATTTTTAGAGTGAGAAATAGTTCAGAAAGAAAAATTGATAGGGGTGAGCTTACAATAGAATACTTACAATAGAATTTTTTTATAATTGTAAGAAGAAGAAGAATCCAGACACAACAGTTGAAATTATAAATAAAACCTAAAATATTACATATAATATTTTATTAGTAGTAAATAAGAAGAAAATTATGGATCAAGTGTATTTCGATTGGCCTACGAATTTTATTTCGAATTTTATTTCAGAGTTTCTTGGAGGCGAACTCGAAATGCTGGTGGAACGCAGCCCTGGTGGACGCAACCCGGCAACTCAGGTACAAGGGCCACGTGTCACCCGGCGTGCTGATGGTCGGTGGACCACCCTGTGCCCTCGAGGTCTTGAGGGCAGCCTGGGCTAGGAACGTCCTACGACCGCCTGCCGATCACGCGATAACTTGCCTCGGTAAGTACTCTTCTTCCCCTCCTCCCCACTTACACCACCTACTCTCTGAAACCAAGTTCTCTCGAGAAACGATTAATCACGATCGAATATCACATATATATATTCGAATATATGAAATAATGAAACTGGAATCGACGACACGCGTCGATCGTAGAGGAGGAACCGTTCGAACAGACTCGTGCAGCAATAAGAGGGATTGTTGCGCCACGCGGTTGTACATCTCGTCGTTAAGGGAGGGGGATGATAATGCAAATTGGACGTGGCGTTAAGCTCTCCCGATGCCTCGTACGCTCTGCACGTTTAAATCGAGGAGGGCAGCGTATCTCACCGGCTTTATCTTTACGCAACCGTGGTTCCCGGCATTATCGCCACCGCTTCACTCGCCTTCCCCCCCTCCTTCCCCGCGCTCCCCATTCGAGTTTCCAAACGAGTCGAGCCCCTCCCCTCACCCGCCCCTGTTCCACGGCTCTTACGACGCTACCACGTGCTACCTAAGCATTGTTACCTGTCGTCGTTCCACACGTGTCGACGCTAAACACCTCCCCGCACGGAAACTCGTTTCCACGGCGAGGGGAGGATACGAGGGACGCGGAGAAGTACACGGGCGCAGATACCGACGACTTGTATTACGTCGGCTGAACACCTTTCCGCCGGCGTGTTATATTATATCGATTCGTTTTTTTTTCCCACTTTCTTTTTCTCTTCTCTTCTTCTTTCCTTCTCTCTCTCTCTCTTTCTATTTCTTTTCATTCCACACCGCCATTGCCATTTTCGCGCATCGCATCGCGCGCTCCCCTGTCTATATATACACACCTACGCGCATACCAAACGTATGCTAATGCGTGTAAGTTGGAATACGCGCATTGGCGTAACGCCGCAATTAATAAAGAGACGAGACACAAACGAGAGTCCTCGAGAGATCTTCGAGGATCACCTGCACCCGGATAAGGTTTCAACGGTGCCACCATTACCTTCCCATCGATGAAAATAATAGTAATAATAATAATATAATCCCAATTCTCGTGTGCAGAATATCTAGAATTCGCATGGAAATATCGAAGAATTGGTTGGTAAAACCAACTGCGCTTTATCGAAAATACGGGTTTAAAAATGCGGCTTTCTGCATTTCATCCGCGCCATGAAATCCAAGCCTGTCGTAACGCGACGGATCCTCCGAAATCACATCGAGATTTCGAGCTCTATCTCAGCGATTCGAGATTCTGCCAGCTGGCTGATAAAACGCGGCAGGGAGCACGGTGCCCGCGCCTATGCGCGTACGCGCTGCGATTCCGCTGGTTCAGCGATGTCTTCTCGGTGAAGAAGAAAAAAGAAAAGGAGAAGAAAAAAAAAGTCAACGATAGCCTGCTATGTTCTACATCGTTTATCCGGCTGGATTATATAGAGCATCATCCCGTGGTACGCGGCCGCTTTCCTTATACGCTCTCGCTTTTCTTCTTCCTTTATTCTAGCCTCCCCTCCCCGCCTCCCTCCTTCCTCGTTTCCCCGGTTTTTTCCCCTCTTCTTTCTTCCTTTCTTTCCCGCAGGCCAGCTTCTCTACACGAGTTTAGACGCTTGTACGCACCTACACACGGCTATCTCGCTATATCGGGCTTATGCTAATGTATATGCATTCCAACATGCTCGGACACGGGCATATAATTAATGATACCTTGTTCCCGCGATTAATTTTTTTTCTTTTCTTTTCTTTTCTATTTTTTTTTTTTTTTTCAGTAAAGGATTTAGAAAATTATTCGTATACATTGTGTCGGCGATCTGTTGTTGTTCCCTGCGACGAATATTATCTATCGAGTGTATCAACGGGTAAATAACGTGAACGCTATTTCGATCGTTTGATTATATTAAGTTGTTTTTGATAAACGCTTTTGGTTACTTATCACTCGCGATTTCGGTGCTCGTGACATAAGAGAGATATACGATTCCGTTCTAAGGATAATTCTGGTTTCTCTTGGCTTTCTAAAAAAAAAAAGAACACGTGTACTCTGATTATCTATTTAACGAAAATTAATAAGTATTTAAACACCTTCAAACAACCTTCGAAAAGAAATCAATTATTTAATTGATATAAGAATCGTAATAAATTTTGGAAATAATGGAAGTTTTTGAAAGATGACGCTAAAGCAATCTACATATAAATAAAATTGATCAATAATATTAAACGAAGAGGCAATCTAATACGATTGAAATTAAAATTAATCGCACATGGAGATCATTCAATGATGTAATAAGATTCTAGCATTGTAGCATAAATATCTACGAAAGATATTTCTTCGTATAAATTTTTTCAATTTTCGTTTGAAAATTATCGACTCGACTCGACAATAACTTTAAAGAATTATTCTATTCGCGAATCTTTAAATGGAGAAATTTATCAGAAAACGTAGATCTGAAAAAGCGGTCGTCGAGCAACGCGGTTTTATCGCGGATAGTTAAAGAAACTGCGACGATAATGCAAATGAATTGTAGCGTGAAGTCTCCGCCTTATTCTCCAAGAAGATTCGTGCCAACGGCAGCATGAGTGCTTAAATTACGCGGAGTTACTTTATCTCGCGTGCCTTATCTTTACGCGGTTACGGTTCTCGCTTTATCGATACCAGTTTACCCAAGCAACGGATAGATGAACCTGCCTTTGCAACAGCGACACAATATATTAACAATCCGTTCGAAAGAGAGGAAATTGCTTTCTGATATTTCTATCCACCTGGTTAATGGTTAACGATTGAGATAAATTAAAAGCTTGTTTCGTTTTCAATTTTTTCATGACGATTTTTTATGATTTCAATGATTAAATTTGAAGATCTATCCAGAATTTTATATTTTATTTTAACCAATTATAAAATATTCGAATATCTCTCGTCAATGATTGAAAAACAGTGCTGCCACCTAACCACCGCAACGACAATCCCGTACATTCGTAAAACATTCGTGAAAGTCACGAATACGAGTTATTTTCGTTTTAGAAATCACAATCATTAATCAATCAATGAGAAAAGCAACAATATCGATCTCTTGATCGTCGACAGATCGTTACGTATTCGATTCCATCGACGAGAGGATCACTCTTTCATCTATCATTTTCTTGGCCTAACCTTTCCTTCTAACGTTTTGCATTTATTCGCTGCTCCAAAATCAACATTCCATATCTCCGTTGCGAATACGCGTGTCTCGACGAATAGCACGTGCTCACATTCATAAGAGATTTTTTCCCTTTCCTCTCTCTCTTACCAACTTCCCTCCCTGCCTGCATTCTTTTCACCCTCTTTTTGCCAATTTTTTACACTTCGTCCTGTCGTATTTATACACACGCCTACGCGTGACTATCCCGGCATACCATGCTCTTATGCTAATGCACACGGGCATATACGTGCTCAATGGCGTAGGATCATAATATTATATCGCGTGATTATCCCTTATTTTTAGGGAAGCTGTTATGAGAATTATGTTATCACTCCGCTTCCTTATTCCGTCCACGTTTCTCAAGATCGATTTAAATTTCTCTGAAATCTTTCTTTCCTCGATAACTAAGAGGATTCTTCGTTTGGAGGGCCGCCAACGGCGCAATCGAGCAAATCTTTCGATCAAACGCGTATCTCGAGGGCACTGGTCGCTCATGCGAGAAATTCAAAAGGGCCTCAAGCTCGAGGGTAGATACAGAAACGGTATTTGAACGATATTTTGGAAGGAAATTCACGCCAACTTGAAAATATCGATGCTAAGAATAATGGATGTATATGTATTGATGTAATTCATTTTTTAGTGAAAAATATATTTGAAGAGAGAGTGAAGTCAATCTTTAAAATTTTAGAGCATTAAAATCTAAATTGTAAATCTTCTCTAAATCTTAACTGTAAACTATTTTGGAAAAAATTAAAATTACAAACTGTTATTTATTAAATTGATTGATTTCAGATTTTTCTGCAATTAAAAATGCAAAAATAATAATTTTCCAGAAACATTTTCGAAAAATGGATATTCCAATCTAAGAGTACAATTAAGATTCATTTCATCCATTCCAAATAACATCTGAAAAACAAAAAAATAACAACAAAAACCTTTCAAAAACTTGAATCCAACGAATCCACATTTATTATTACAAAGAATTTCATTTTCATCGAAACACTTTCACAGAGATTCCACTAAGAGGAGCCAAAGAGGATTTCATTCAAATAGGAGCCCAATAATCCCATCCTCTGCTCGCATTCGCGAAATGGAATCGCGTATTACGTTAATGTTCCGATAAATTCCCGATTTCTCCGCTTATGTTGCACACAAATCCAGCGCGCGAGGCGATACCGAGTTTCACGCCACCAACATAATTGGTCTGTCGTCTACCCCGCGGACAGCTTATCCGATCTCTCTATTTCCCTTCTTTCGCGTCGTTTCGTGTCACTTGCTCGGGCAAGATCCGTAAACATGGCCGGTAGTCGCATACCATCGCTCGATGACTATCGACTTCGTGGAGAGCTTCCTGAAAGACACGCATTAAGGACACGCATTACGCGTCCTCCGCATACTAACTACTACTGCCATCCCCCTCGCGACGATAAAACGAGATCCGCAATTTGCGGATGTCGAATGGAGCGGGTTTCGTGCTCGTTACAGAAATTGCGCTTTATAGGAATAAGTACACTTGTTGTTGCTACTCTCGTGGCCAGGATTTATCTCGGCTAGGTATCTTTCTCTGCGAGTGAGCATAGTTATGGGGGGATGATTCATCGGATTGTTTATGGGAGGAAGGTTAATGGAGAACAGTTTTTCTTCGTAATTCATGGGTTTAATTGAGTGGCATGGGGCTATAAAGGGAAATAAAATAATTGTAAAATTTGTGTGTGGAATTAGGGAACAGGGAACTTTTGATAAGTGGAATATTATAACGGATAAATTCTTCAGGATTTTGTTGTGTAGCAATTGTGAATTGTCAAGTAGATTTTGATTAAGATATTGGTAATTAAGATTGTAAATGTAAAAATACAAGCACAAAT